CTGTTGTCCTGTTCTAGTGATTATGCACTTTACGTAGCCTCACCTGCCCATTCATATCTTTATAATTTTGTGCATTTAAAGATTCTATTCTGCATAACGCGGTAATCTGAATGTTTTCACACTTCTGTCTGCTTGAAAAAAAAGGTAAATTTTCTCTTGACCACTTTCGTTAACATTGCGTATCCAACCAATGAACACTACCTAAACAGATACATTTATGATTCCATTTTCGGTAAATTTAAATTTGGTGTAAAATATATTACACAGTTACATAGCCGAAAAGAGACTTGTGTCCATCAAGTTCAGCCTACCTCACATTTGTTTTTTGCTGTTGATCCAAAAGAAGGCAAAAAAACCCAGTTTGAAGCACAATTTTGCAAAAAGCTAGGAAAAAAATTCCTTCTTGACCCCAGAATGGCAGTCAGATTTATCCTTGGATCAAGCAGTTATTACCTTACATTGAAAGATTATATCCTTGAATATTCTGTTTATGCAAGTATGCATCTAGTAGCTGTTTGAACATCCGTATGGACTCTGATAAAATTATATCTTATGTTTGCTGCACTGAAATGATGGAACCTCTACGTCTGGTACCCACCATTATCCACAAGTCAATTAGATAGCGCGCTGCCCTATAAAAGGTGTGTCTGCATGCTTTGTTTGTTGAGTTGTTGCTACATGACCTGTTCAGGCAGGGCCGCCATCAGGGCATGACAACCGTGACAATTGTCACGGGCCCGGCGGCCCTGGGGGGCCCGGCCGCCCGGGCCCCACGTGGATCAGCGGAACTGCCGCCGGTGCATCTGCACCGGGACCCACACGCTGATGGGGCCCATCAGGTGGCCCCAATCATTTAGGGCCACCCAATGGGCCCTATTATCTTCAGGGGCCCGTTTAGCGCTGTAATAGCGCGACCGGGCCCCTTTAAAAAAAAAAAATGCAGCCGGAAGCAAGTGCTGCTGGGAGGAAGTGACGTCCGGTCACTTCCTCCCACTTTACTCCGCGCGGGAAGGAGGACGCAGCCTGAGGAGAGGCAGCCGATGCCCATCATCCCCAGCCACCCTCCTGCGACGAAATGGTAAGGAAGAGAGTAGGGTGGCTGGGGATGAAGTGTATGTATGCCAGTGTGTGTGTATGCCAGTGTATGTGTATGTATGCCAGTGTGTGTATGCCAGTGTGTGTGTGTGTATGTATGCCAGTGTGTGTGTGTATGCTGGTGTATGAATGCCAGTGTATGTGTGTGTGTGTATGCCAGTGTATGTGTGTATGCCAGTGTATGCCAGTGTATGTGTATGAATGCCAGTGTATGTGTGTATGAATGCCAGTGTATGTGTGTATGTATGCCAGTGTGTGTATGCCAATGTGTGTGTGTGTATGTATGCCAGTGTGTGTGTGTATGCCAGTGTATGTGTGTGTGTATGCTGGTGTATGAATGCCAGTGCATGTGTGTGTGTGTATGCCAGTGTATGTGTGTATGCCAGTGTATGTGTATGAATGCCAGTGTATGTGTGTATGAATGCCAGTGTATGTGTGTATGTATGCCAGTGTGTGTATGCCAGTGTGTGTGTGTGTATGTATGCCAGTGTGTGTGTGTATGCCAGTGTATGTGTGTGTGTATGCTGGTGTATGAATGCCAGTGTATGTGTGTGTGTGTATGCCAGTGTATGTGTATGAATGCCAGTGTATGTGTGTATGAATGCCAGTGTATGTGTGTATGTATGCCAGTGTGTGTATGCCAGTGCGTGTGTGTATGTATGCCCATGTATGCCAGTGTATGTGTGTGTATGCCAGTGTGTGTGTGCCAGTGTGTGTGTGCCAGTGTATGTGTGTGCATGTATGCCAGTGTGTATGCCGGTGTATGAATGCCAGTGTATGTGTGTGTATGCCAGTGTCTGAATGCCAGTGTATGTGTGTCTGAATGCCAGTGTATGAATGCCAGTGTGTGTATGCCAGTGTATGTGTGTGTGTATGCTGGTGTATGAATGCCAGTGTATGTGTGTGTATGCCAGTGTCTGAATGCCAGTGTGTGTATGCCATTGTGTATGCCAGTGTATGTGTGTGCCAGTGTGTATGCCAGTGTATGTGTGTGCCAGTGTGTATGCCGGTGTATGAATGCCAGTTTATGCCAGTGTGTGTATGCCAGTGTATGTGTGTATGAATGCCAGTGTATGTGTGTGTGTATGCTGGTGTATGAATGCCAGTGTATGTGTGTGTATGCCAGTGTCTGAATGCCAGTGTATGTGTGTGTGTATGCCAGTGTCTGAATGCCAGTGTATGAATGCCAGTGTATGTGTATGTGTATGTATGCCATTGTGTATGCCAGTGTATGTGTGTGCCAGTGTGTATGCCAGTGTGTGTATGCCAGTGTATGTGTGTATGAATGCCAGTGTATGTGTGCATGTATGCCAGTGTGTAGATGCCAGTGTATGTGTATGTATGTATGCCAGTGTATGAATGCCAGTGTATGTGTGTGTGTATGCCAGTGCATGTGTGTATGTGTGTGTGTATGTATGCCAGTGTATGTGTGTGTATGTATGCCAGTGCGTGTATGCCAGTGTGTGTCTGTATGCATGCCTGTGTGTGTCTGTATGTATGTATGTATGCCTGTCGGTATGTATGTATATATCAATATGCAGTATGTATATGTATGTTTGTCAGTATGTATGT